CCAGGTCTTTCTTCAGCAGTTCAGCATGATGAACAACCAAGTTCTCCTCCTTTATCAAGAATGAGAGATGGAAGAGAGACTTCCAAGTCCTCCCGAGCAAAGATGAATGAGACATTTAACACAGACCTCAGATGCAGCAAAAGGCTGCATGCCTGCAATTGTGAGATGGACTCTTTAAATACTGTCAGGTACTTGGTCATGGGCTGAGCTGAGGCTTGATAAAAGAAGGCCCATTTCTCCGTCATTAGTACTGAAAGCAATTTATGTCCTTTTTGTGACAACTGAACCCTGCTGTTGGATTTATGACCTTTGGATGGATGCATTTCTGATTTATGGCTTATTGATCTCAAATTGTTGATTATTGTGGATTTCATGCCTTGGTTTTTGAACTCTCATAATAGCAGGAAATCATCAAATCATAAAAGCTAGTGGTCATCACTGCATCTTCTGGGTATTAATTCCACAGACTAGGTTTAGCAAACAGGTTAGGGCTTTCTAATCTTGAACCTCAATGTGTCTATTTACAGAAGTAAACCATATCCCACACATGCTGCTTTGGATAATAATTGTAGTGCAATAAATGGATACGGAATATGTGCAATTACCATTGGAATGGCCCCAAATTATGATTGTGAATTGTGTGATTTTAATAGTTGATGTAATGTTTAAATGTTTTAATTTATGGTTTTAATGTAAACGTTTATTTTAATTGTATATTTTTTATGGCATTGGATTGTTGCCTGTGTGTGAAGCTGCACTGAGTCCCCTTCAGGGTGGGAAGGGCGGGGTACAAATATCATAAATAATAATAATAAATGACCGTATCTTAGTGAGGAACATCAGAATAACCCTGCTTGATCAGTCCAAATCCCATTTTTCAGTGTTGTTGTTGTTCATTCATTCAGTCGTTTCTGACTCTTCGTGACCTCATGGATCAGCCCACTCCAGAGCTCCCTGTCGGCCGTCACCACCCCCAACTCCTTCAAGGTCAATCCAGTCACTTCAAGGATGCCATCCATCCATCTTGCCCTTGGTTGGCCCCTCTTCTTTTTCCTTCCATTTCCCCAGCATCATTGTCTTCTCTAAGCTTTCCTTTCTTCTCATGATGTGGCCAAAGTACTTCATCTTTGCCTCTACTATCCTTCCCTCCAATGAGCAGTCGGGCTTTATTTCCTGAAGTATGGACTGGTTGGATCTTCTCGGTCCAAGGCACTCTCAGAACTTTCCTCCAACACCACAGTTCAAAAGCATCTATCTTCCTTCGCTCAGCCTTCCTTATGGTCCAGCTCTCACATCCATAGGTGACTATGGGGAATACCATTGCTTTAACTATGCGGATCTTCGTTGCCAGTGTGATGTCTCTACTCTTCACTATTTTATCGAGATTGCTCATTGCTCTCCTCCCAAGAAGTAAGTGTCTCCTGATTTCCTGGCCACAGTCTGCGTCTGCAGTAATCTTTGCACCTAGAAATACAAAGTCTGTCACGGCCTCCACATTTTCCTCCCTCTATTTCCCAGTTGTCAATCATTCTTGTTGCCATAATTTTGGTTTTTTTTATGTTTAGCGCAACCCAGCTTTTGCACTTTCTTCTTTCATCTTGATTAGAAGACTCCTGAGCTCCTCCTCGCTTTCGGCCATCAAAGTGGTATCCTGCATATTTAAGGTTGTTAATGTTTCTTCCAGCAATTTTCACCCCAGCCTTGCATTTGTCAAGCCCCGCACATTGCATGATGTGTTCTGCAGACAAGTTGAATAGGTTGGGGGAGAGGATACAACCCTGCCGTACGCCTTTCCCAATCTTGAACCAGTCTGTTGTTCCATGGTCAGTTCTTGCTGTTGCTACTTGATCCTTATACAGATTCCTCAGGAGAGAGACAAGGTGATTTGGTATGCCCATACCACCAAGAACTTGCCACAATTTATTATGATCCACACAGTCATAGGCTTTAGAATAGTCAATAAAACAGAAATAGGTGTTTTCTGAAACTCCCTGCCTTTCTCCATTATCCAGCTGATATTGGTAATTTGGTCTCTCGTTCCTCTGCCTTTTCGAAACCCAGCTTGTACATCTGGCAACTCTCTCTCCATGTATTGCTGGAGTCTTCCTTGCAGGATCTTGAGCATTACCTTACTGGCATGAGAAATAAGGGCCAGTGTAGTTTAAATAATTTCAGTGTTGTCAGTGGTTGAATCCTATTTTAATATTCACTTCTTTAATATGTTTCAGTTGTATGTTTTTCAGTTATAAGCCTCCTTGAGTCCCAGTTTTTGGGAGAAAGATGAAATATTGATGATGCTGATAATGATGAAATAATAAAATAACTCAGAAGCAGAACAGTACAGTGGCACTAGACACTCATGTCCCCCCAGCAACTAGTATTCAGAGGCATACTGCCAAAATACTGGAGCTAATGTATAACTGCAGTGACAAGTTGTCACTGCAGCATTATTCTCCTTGTGTGTGTGTGCCTGCCTGCCTTCAAATCACCTGTCTGCTTATGCCCTCCTCATGAATTTCATAGGATTTTCTTAGGCAAGGAATGCTCAGATGGCCAGCCATTGCCTTTCTCTGAAATACAGCCTGCAGCACTTAGTATTCCTTGTTGATCCTTCATCCAAGTATTAATAATGCCTGACCCTGCTTAGCTTTCAAGATCAAACAGAGTATGATCTATTAGAGTATTTAGTCTTCTCTTAAAGTCAGACACATTCACAGTCATCACTCAGTCTTGTTGTGATGCAGTTTATAGTTTACAATGAACGACATTATATCAATATGATTCAGGTCACTTCAAATCAAACTTGTTTAAAGTTGGATTGTAAAAAGTATCAAATCCTGTTTGTTTGTAGACACTGTATTTGACTATTGGAATTTGGGGAGTAATAAAATGTATTTATTTATTTACAGTATTTATATTCCGCCCCTCTCACCCCAAAGGGGACTCAGGGCAGATCACAATGTACATATATATGGCAAACATGCAATGCCGTTCTTGACATACAAGACATACAGACATATAGAGGCCATTCAGCAGTTCTTCCATTTCGGATCCTCGATTCAGCCACAGGGCGAGCTGTCGCTTCGTCCACTATGATGTCAAGCCTTTTTGATTGTAGTATTTCCTCCTTGCTCTCGGCATTTTTATGGTGTCATAAATTAGCCTCTCCACTTTTCAGCGGTCCCTAATTCCTCTACTCACAGCTCACATCTGTTTTTGAACTGCTTAGGTCAACAGTGAACTGGGCATTTTTAAAACATTAGCTATTAACACTCGGGTGCTCAACCCTGACTCAGGCTTTGAACTTGTCACCTTTTGATCGGCAGTGATTTATTGCAGCTGATAAACTAGTTGTGCAAGTTGCTTCTGGAACACATCTCACCACACTAAAACAGTAGATCTGGCTCTTAATGAGATATGCCTCATTATCACGGGGTGCCTGCGCCCTACACCACTGGAGAAATTACACTTTTTAGCTGGTATTGCACCACCTGACATCCGCAGCCAATAGTGAAAGGACCAAGTCAGTGACATCTCGAACTCATCCCCTGTTTGGGTATCAGCCAGCACATCAATGACTTAAATCAAGAAATAGTTTTCTAAGATCTACAGAGACGTTCGCTGGAACATCTCAGCAAGCGAGAGTCCAAAAGTGGCAGGCTCAAACCCAGAATCTCAATCAGTGGCTGATACCCAATGAGAGATTCCCCCCTGGGCACACAGAAAACTGGGCGACTTGGAAGGCACTGAACAGACTGCGCTCTGGCACCACGAGATGCAGAGGCAACCTTAAGAAATGGGGCCACAAAGTGAAATCCACGACATGCGAGTGTGGATAAGAGCAAACTACAGACCATCTGCTGCAATGCAACCTGAGCCCTGCCACATGCACAATGGAGGACCTTCTTATAGTAACACCAGAGGCACTCCAAGTGGCCAGATACTGGTCAAAGAACATTTAATCAACTACCAAGCTTGCAAACTTTGTGTTTTGTTTATTTGTTTGTTTAAAAATGCAATACAACTGTTTGGTTTGCTCCTGACACGATAAATAAATAAACTAGTTGTGCTACCTGGCCTTATGTAATTGTATGATCTGTATTTTAATGTATTTGTATTAATGTATTACGATGTTATGTTTTTATTCTATTTGTGTATGAATTTCCTGCTGTGAACCGGCCTCAGTCCCTCTTCGGAGGTCGAGAAGACCGGGTTATAATAGCTCTAAATAAATAAATAATAATAAATACCAACCCGGCCCTTTTTGGTTTCAACTGTTAAATATTGATAGCCAGTTATATCTGCAAGGATATTCCTTCTATTTCTTCAATGAATTATCATGTTTTAGTGTGTATTATCTAGTTGATTTGATTGATATTATAGTAAATAAAGCATTATATTAAAGTCCTCATCAACGTTGCATAATACTGATTCCGGATTCCAGTGTCATAAAGCAAAATGTTTCTTACTAAGCTTGTATTATAGGTACAATTTTGGATTGAAAGGTGGGAGATCTGTATTTAAAACTAGACTTAACTATGAGGCTCACCAGTCATCTTTCTCCAGTTAATCATTTTTACATCATTGATTAAGTGATTGAGGTTTCAACCTTGCCTAGGCATTAGTATTGTTGCAACAATATGGATACCAATTTTCTTTTTGGTAGATCTATGTAGGATTGCTCTGTAAGGCTGCATGTTCGGCCTTATACATATTTGGAGAAAAGTAGATTTTATTTAACTGTATGGGACTAGTTCTCGAATAAACATATTTAGGACGAGACTGTAAATGTGATATGGCCAATAAAACATTCTGTACACTTAACATTTCTATGAGATCTATTACAAGCTGAAATGTACTGAAGTTAACTCAATTATTTTAAGTGACTTGACTTAAGCTGCTGTATTCTAACAGGGAAAGGAAGTGGCTTTTATATCCATTCTCTGCTGTTGAAATACTGGTTTTACTCCATTTAACAATTTGTTGTATTTGTTATCCAGGTGTTCTTCAAATGATGCAGACCAGGATTAGTGCCTTGCAGAGTACTGTCGACAGGTATGTCATCTCTTTAATGTTGTGTGAGGTTTTATATTTTAATATTGTTAGCATTTTTTTTTACAAATACTGCCATGGTTACTAAAACTTTTTTCATTTTTCATTAGAATCAGAGCGAAAATTGTTGATCCGTACAACAAAATCGTGTCACGCACTGAGCAATTAGCTCGGCTTCAGGTAAGTTAAGGAGTTTTCTTCTTCAGAAATAACAGCAGCAAAAACAGCAGCATTTGTTTCTGCCCTGCCTTATTCTCTAGTACTGAAGCCCGAGGCATTTTAGAACATGATTAAAAAAACAGATGTAACTAAAAACACAGCACATTTGAACATCAAAACACAGTTAAACAGATTATTATCTTAAATGAAACAAATTGAAAGCAATTAGAAACAGCATAAAGGCAAAAAAAAAAAATAACAAATGCATATTTTTCCAGTTAAAAACCCTCAACAAATCAGTCAGTTTACATAAATATTTTCTCATTGAAAATGTCTTTGTGGCCCAGTTGATGGACATGAGGGGGAAGCCTAGTATCTGGAGAGCGGGCCGGCCACTCCAAATCCGCTCGAAAAGTAGGCCTCAACGGCAAAAGCACACTCCTCAGTGTTCCAATGCATGATGGCGACTGAACTGTGTCAGGACAAAACTTTATACTCTCGCTTCTCGAATGACACCACTAGCGCTCCACTACATCTTCAACCGACTGAATGGCCCGCATTTTAAAAAAGGAAGTTATTCTGCCTCACCCTGTAGATAGGAAGTATAAGGCCATATTCAACAATGTTTGGGTATAAATTCCAGTAACTACAACACGCAAATGTCAAGGTATATTTTCCCCAAACTCCTTCTGTGTTCATATTTTGGGCATATTGAGTATCCGTTCAAAGTTTGGTCTAGATTCTCCATTGTTTGAGTCCACAGTTCTTTCTGGATGTAGATGAACTACCACTCCAGAACTCAAGGTTAATGCCCACCAAACCCTTTTAGTGTTTTCTGTTGGTCATGGGAGTCCTGTGTGCCAAGTTTGGTTCAAGTCCATCATTGGTGGAGTTCAGAATGCTCTTTGATTGTAGGTGAACTATAAATCCCAGCAACTACAATTCCCAAGTGACAAAATCAATTTTTTTAGTGATGGTCACTTCTTGTGTTAGTAGGTCTTGTGGCCAAATTTGGTGTCGATTCGTCCAGCGGTTTCTGAGTTCTGTTAATCCCACAAACGAACATTACATTTTTATTTATATAGATGAGCTTTTGTGGATATGTATCCATTTCTTCAGATGTAGTACCAAGTAGGCCTTGAAAGAGTGCTTGACATCTTGGAAGCAGCCCTTGAGAAGCCTTTCTTTCACTTCCTCCCTGAATGTACCTGCGAGATGGGCAAAATGCAGAGAAGATACTCATCTGAAGACTTTAAAACTCAGGGCCCTTCCACACAGCCCTATATCCCAGAATATCAAGGCAGAAAATCCCACAATATCTGCTTTGAACTGGAATGTATGGTAGTATATGGTAGTGTGAAGACCATGCATGTGTTTTTATAGGCAGCGTTTTAGATGATCTCTTTTTTCACACTTTCAACATTTGAGCTGATAATATGAAGAAAAATTAATGGTGGCCACAGTTAACTGTATAGACTTTATTCTGGCTGGATACAGTGTTGCTATGGCGACTGGTTGGAGTGGGAAACACTCCCAGAATAAATAATTGAAAGCATGGCATATGTATACTGAATATTTTAGAAATTCTCCTTGAAAGAGAGACTATAGATATAAGCAGAAAAGAGCTTCTCATTATATATTGGTATGGTGGGCTTCTTTATTTACTCACTATGGTATTTCTTTTAAAAAATACTTCTATTTTTAAGACTATTTTTTGAATCCCCTGGAAACATCTTTAACATTGAGTTAAATATATTTTCCTCCTCGGTTTCAGTCAGTTCCAGCAAATCAGAAATTCAGATCCCCCCCCCCAAATATTTTAGGCAAACCAAATAGGAAAGCATGTTTAACATTGGAAACACTCCTTTACAATACGTGTTAACTTGGCAGAAAGTTCTTTGTATTGATTATTAAATCAGCCTGAAATTTGGATGCTTGGTTCGTAGCTTGGGGTCCTCCTGGATTCAATGCTGTTGCTTGATGCTCAGGTGCCAGCGGTAGCCAGGAGGGCCTTCGCACAACTCAAATTTGTGCGCCAGCTGCGACCATACCTCGTGAAGTCTGACTTGACCAGGGTGGTCCACACCTTGGTTACATCCAAACTGGGCTATTGCAGTGCGCTCTACGTGGGGCTGCCTTTGAAAACGGCCCAGAAGTTTCAACTGGTACAACGGGTGGCAGCCAAGCTCCTTACTGGAGCAAACTATAGGGATCATGTTGCCGAGCCAAATTCAAAGTGCAGGTCATGACCTATAAAGCCCTAAATGGTTCGGGCCCTGCCTATCTCCGCGATCGCATCTCCTTCTATGAACTGGCATGAACTCTTAAGTTCTTCCAAGGAGGCCCTCCTCTCGGTCCCACCTCCGTCACAAGCAAGGTTGGTGGGGAAGAGAGAGAGGGTCTTCTCAGTGGTGCCCCCCCCCCCCCGCCTCTGGAACGCCCTTCCAAGGGAAATAAGACAAGCCCCATCCCTCTCCTCCTTTCGTAAGAGTTTGAAGACCTGGTGGTTTCAACAAGCCTTTGAAAATGACCAGCTCTAACTCAGTTTTACACATTGTTGAATACGGCCTTATTCTTCCTACCAATTACACAAATCACTTCCTCTAATCAGCCCCGGAATGAAGAGCCACAGACCCGTACCTAATATTATTGTTGCTTGCCATAGCATTGGACTTAATTCCCAGGCCCCCTAGAATTTTTGGGCTTGCACAAATCTTGGCCCAGCCTTTTAAATTTTTAAATTGCCTTGAACAGGCAGGATTACTTTTAATTATGTGTGTTATGGCAATAATTTTTATGCTTATATTGTTTTGTTAATCTTATGGTTATGTTGTTTTATTCTATATCTTTTGTGATGTTACCTGGGAACCACTCTGAGTCCCCTCGGGGAGATAGAGTGGTATATAAATAAAGTTTTATTATTATTATTATTATTATTATTATTATTATTATTATAGACACAATAATACAAAAGCACAGTATGTCACAGCAAACGAGATCTATATGCTGGATTTCGTATCACAAAATCACAAGTTGAACACTTCCCAAGCGTCTAGGAGTGTGTGATGTATTTTCGAATGATGTGCGCAGATCAAAGTAAGGTGGCCTTTTGCAGTTTACAGATTGTGATTTTGTCGATGTTTATTGTTTCCAAATGCCAGCTGAGATCTTTTGGCATGGCACCCGGTGCGCCAATGACCACTGGGACCACCTGTACTGGTTTATGCCAGAGCCTTTGCAGTTCGATTTTGAGGTCTTGATAGCGGCTGAGTTTTTCCTGTTGTTTTTCCTCAGTGCGACTGTCACCTGGTATGTCGACATCAATAATCCAGACTTTTTTTCTTTTCCACAATCATGATGTTTGGTGTATTGTGTTCCAAAACTTTGTCAGTCTGGATTCGAAAGTCCCACAGTATTTTTGCATGTTCATTTTCCACGACCTTTGCAGGTTTATGATCCCACCAATTCTTTGTTGCTGGCAGGTGGTACTTGTGACATAAGTTCTAGTGAATCATTTGGGTCGCAGAGTTGTGTCTTTGTTTGTAGTCCGTCTGTGTGATTTTCTTGCAACAGCTGAGGATACGATCCATGGTTTCATCTTCCCTGCACAGTCTGCATTTTGGGCCATCCGCTGATTTTTCAATCCTGGCCTTATTTGCATTGGTTCTGATGGCTTACTCCTGGGCTGCAAGGATCAGGCCTTCTATCTCCTTCTTCAGGATTCCATTCATGAGCCATAACCAGGTCTTCTCCTTCTCAACTTTTCCTTCAATCTTCTCAAGGAACTGCCCATGTAAGGCTTTGTTGTGCCAGCTGCCAGCTCTGGTTTGGAGTGTAGTTTTCTTGTACTGGCTCTTTGTCTGCTGTGCTTTGAGAAGTTTCCAATTATTGACTTCAATTAAAGCATGTTCTTGGCTTTCCTTGACATATTCAATTATTATTATTATTATTATTATTATTATTATTATTAATATTATTATTAATTGATTTGAAAAAGGAAGGAATCCCAGAGTATTRGGGACTGTCTGTTTTTTCTAGCTACTGATTTTCAGCCTCCTCTCAATTTATTTATTTATTTATTTATTTCATTTACTTATACCCCGCCCTTCTCACCCCGAGGGGGACTCAGGGCGGCTTACAGAGGAGGCACAATTAAATGCCTAAATCAATTGACAGTAATACAAAATACAAAAAGCAATTCAACAGTTAAAATTAAAACATCAGTGCATAATAAAATATTAAGACAATCTCATGCTCGGGTTCAGAGTCCATATATCCATTCCATTCCATTTGTCCTTGTCTYTCGTCAGATRCTTAATTTAGCTGCCAGTGTGTCCAAAGGCTTGGTCCCAAACCCAGGTCTTCAGTTTTTTCCTGAATGCCAGAAGGGAGGTCGRCGATCTAAAGGTTAGTTATACTCTGTCTTTCCKTCAAAACTGGGACTTAGGTGGCTTCTAAGTTAAAACAAAGACAACATAGTTAAAAATATATAGGATATCAACATTAAATTAGAATGGCCAAATGCAAATTTATGGTTGATTTTTTTACCGTTTTCATTGTTTTCCTATGCAGTTGGTAGAGTCAGGACAGTGAATCCCACATACAAAAGCATCCCATCCTTATCCTAGGGTTGAATTTGGATTTAGTCATGTGCAACCCGTTCAGTGGAAGAGGACTTCCATGGTGCTCCCTTCACCTGTCCCCAAAACACTTCCTGGAGAGTTGGGGACCCTTGGTGAATAGTCAGGGGAAGGAGAAGAAGGCACGATCTTCGGAAATCAAGCAGAATGAATGTCCATGATTCATCTTCAAGGATTCCCCCTCACCACAGCCTTACCTTCACCACATTCAGAAGGGTTCCTCCAACCCATTCTGTGAAATTTTTAGGCGTCTGTCCACCGGACCTTCTGTTTTCTCTCTCTGTTTTGATTTAGATCCAGATTGCATTGTCAATCCAGACTGCATCTACAGTGCGTTTAAATAAATTAAAATTTTGATTTGCATGAAAGGCTGATTCTGTATATAACTCTTTTCCCCTAGTGGTACAGCCATTGTTCTCAACAAAGTACATTAACGGGCAAAATGTCTGTAGTGCTTATTATATAATATAGAAAAATGGTTATGAAATTATAGGGAATATTTGTCACTAGGCAACCATAGATGAAGCAACGATCTCAACTGCCTTTGTTTGTTTTAAACTTATTTTGTAGATTACACTTTGTAGTCTGCAACGTTCTAAACCAAAATGGAGAGAGAAGACAGAAGATCTCTTGAATAGTGAGATGTTTACAGGCAGAGGATACATTTCAAAGCTCTACTTTGTCTGCATCGAGCTGGAATTTTAAGATGCGTCAACACTGGCTGGTCTTGGACCAAGAGAACTACCTGTTCAGAAAGGAAGAAAGATCTGCATGGTTGTTGTTGAATGTCTTAAAAGCCCAGGAGAACCCTAAAATGCACTACCTGTCTGTAAATATGTATTGAATGTATCTCATTTAACACTGGTAATATTGTTGTTAGGACTGTGGGGCATGTTGTATCTTGAAGAAGTGTGTGGAAGATCTGTGTGATTGTCCCTATCTCTATATTTATTTATTTATTTGCGCTATATCAGCCCGAAGGCGACTCAGGGTGGCATACTGAGTCGGCACAATTCAATGCATAAAATACATACATTGATAAAAAGCAAAAAAACAAAACAAAAAACCTCCAAAACATTACAGTACATTTAAAATCATAAAAACAATGAACAATAAAAAAATTAAAAACTATGTCCTCTCGTTCAAATCCTCATCCGTTCCATCGTCTTGGCTGTTCCTGGGTCATTTTCCAATTCAAGTTTGTCTGTTTATGCTGAGGTTCCGAATGCTTGCTCGAAGAGCTAAGTTTTCACTCTTTTTCGATAGGTCTGGAAGGAGGGGGCTGATCTAATATCCTAGGCAGGGAGTTCCACAGCCAAGGGGCCGCCACAGAGAAGTGCCTGTCTCTCGTCCCCGTCAAACATGCTTGCGAAGCAGGCGGGATCGAGAGCAGGGCCTCCTCTGATGATCTCAAGTTCCTGGTGGGTTCGTAGGAAGAGATGCATTCAGATAGATAAGCTGGGCCAGAACCGTTTATGGCTTTATAGTTGCTGTCGTTTCTCTTTTCCCACTCCCTCTTCCACATCCCTTGTTGTTGTTGTTCATTTGTTCAGTCATTTCCGACTCTTCGTGACCCCATGGACCACCCCACGCCAGAGCTCCCTGTGGGCCGTCACCACCCCCTGCTCCTTCAAGGTCAACCCAGTCACTTCAAGGATGCCATCCATCCATCTTGCCCTTGGTTGGCCCCTCTTCCTTTTTCCTTCCATTTTCCCCAGCATGATTGTCTTCTCTAAGCTTTCCTTTCTTCTCATGATGTGTCCAAAGTACTTCATCTTTGCCTCTGTTATCTTTCCCTCCTCTCCTTTAGCCTTATTTATATTTCATCAAAGAGCTATTTACAAATATAAGTAGCATGGCAGTCTCCTCCCTGATTTTAAATAAGGGAAGGAGAGGAAGGAGCAGATTAGTAGGTTCAGGCTCTCATTCTTAGAATAACCGGCTGGATGGAAATAATCCAGGTCTTGGACCTGATACTTAGATATCGTGCCAGGGTGTTTAAGCCTGAGCTAGCAAAAGCCCAACCCAGGGTTAGGTGCTGGTTATTGGGGAAAAGGCTAGAAAAAAATCCTATTTAAAAGGAGGACCTTGTTTACATACTACAGTTGCCTACTCTTGGTGCTCAGAACCCTTATCAAGCCATGAAATGAACTGTGTAATGTGATCAAGTATTCTAAGTCCCTAAAATATGTGCAGGGTTTCCACCGCTTTGAGTCCCCTCAGGGGTGAGAAAGGCGGTATATAAATACTGTAAATAAATAAATACTTAAAACTGTATAATAATGTTAGCTGCCTTGAGTACCCTATGGGAGAAAGGTGGGGTATAAATAAAGTAAATACTACTACTACTACTACTACTACTACAATAATAATAATAATAATAATAATAATAATAATATAGTGAGCATAAATAAATAAAGTAAATACTACTACTTCTACTACTACTACTGAGAATAATAATAATAATAATAATAATAATAATAATAATAATAATATTGTGAGCATATTCTGAATCTATGTTTCCAATCCAGGCTGCCTGTGACTTGCTTCGGAGAATAATACGCATCCTGTATCTCAGCAAGAGACTTCAAGGGCAGCTGCAGGGAGGAAGCAGAGAGATAACAAAAGCTGCTCAGAGCCTCAATGAGCTTGGTGAGTCTACTTGGCATTTCTTGGTCATTTTAGCAGCATGATATTTATTCATTTGAAATGGTTTCCTTTCTTTACTAAAGTACTTTTGCTGCCGGACATGTAATGCCTCTTTTGTTGCAAGGGTAATGGACAACATGGAAGACACTTCTTTTTTGATTTCGTATAAATCAAAACCCATGTGGCGATGACTTTCTTAGCTTTCCAGAGGTGCAAACGGAATTTTGGTTTTTCAGAAAAGATATCATCCAGTTAGTTTTTATGTAAGAGATTTTTGGCTGAAGTCAATGTTACTGCTTTTTATGCTCAAAAAGATTTGAATTAGGTTGTGGCTGAAGTGTCAAGTGGTCTCTGTATATACAGCTAAAGTGTTCCTGTTTGTGGACTGATTTTTTCGAGGGGAGGCATTGTATCAAATTGCCCTTACTTTAATGCAGAGTGCCCCGTTCTCATTTATGGGATACAAGGGACCAGGTGCGAGGAGGGGCTTCAAGTCCTGCTGCAATTGCGGAAATCATCTTAGGGCTCCTTAAATCTCACTTCACATTTTGAGTTCAGTCAGTAGGATCAACTTCTTTGTGGGTTCATCCAAAGATGATTCTGCATGAGTTGCAAAGTCTGCCTCATTTCTTGCATGCTCTGTACATCCTCCTAAACATTCTGGAGGATCTCCCCATCTTTAAGGATATTTTTAGGTTGTGCAAAATGCGTAAGTGTGGAGGAATGGAGAGGAAAGCACCACAGCATGAATGGCACTTACCTCATGCCTGGAAGCAACTTTTTAATGGTGAAGAAATAATGTTTTTTTTCCTAAAATGATCCCGACTGATGTTTGTATTGAACAGGAAAATGATTGCCTTACTGGGTTAGGGGAAGGTCTACCAAATCCAGGAGTATGTCTCCTGCAGTGGTCAAATGCTTTTGGTTAATCCACAGCAGGGGTCCTCAAACTTTTTAAACAGAGGGCCAGGTCACAGTCCATCAAACTGTCGGAGGGCTGGATTATAATTTGAAAAAGAACCATGAATGAATTCCTATGCACACTACACATATCTTACTTGTAGTGCAAAAAACACTTAAAACACTTAATAGAATAATTAAAACGAAAAACAATTTTAACAAATATAAACTTATTATTATTTTATCTTGATAAAATAGTGAAAAGTAGAGACATCACACTGGCAACCAAGATCCGCATAGTTAAAGCAATGGTATTCCCCATAGTCACCTATGGATGTGACTGCATTGACCTTGAAGGAGCTGGGGGTGACATGGAGCTGGGGCCGACAGGGAGCTCTGGCGTGGGCTGGTCCGTGAGGTCACGAAGAGTCGGAAACAACTGAACAAATGAACAAAAACAAAAAAAAAACTTATTAGTATTTCAATGGGAAGTGTGGACCTGCTTTTGGCTGATGAGATAGGATTGTTGTTGTTGTTGTGTGCTTTTAAGTCATTTCAGACTTAGTTTGACCCTGAGTGAGAGCCGGGTAAATGACCTTGAAGGCCCATATCTGGCCCCCGGGCCTTAGTTTGAGGACCCCTGATCCACAGGGTAGACTTGGTGGTTATTATTCCCCATTTGTCCATAGGATCTAATTCTGCTCCTGAACATGGAAGTTCAGTACTTCTTCTAAACATGGAAGTTTTAACTTTTCCCTGAATCATTGCAAATCTTCAGCTCCCCATGACTAAAGAGAGGCTGCACTATCACTTTGGCATCAATGCCTTATAGTTTTTCTTACCCAAATGCTGATTTGTGGCCACGTGACAGGAACCCTATGTGCACAGATCTTCTTGAGCAGGGCTCCAGAATATATGGGGAGTCTTTATGCCTAGGCGTATCTGAGGCAGATGTTCATGTGCAAGAGAAAGGACTTGAAGATGGTCATAGTGCTGAGGTTTGGTAGCATGCAGTTTTGTTCCACTTTTATCCAGAAATGAGCAGCTATATGTGCTAGCACCGTAATAAAAGGGCATTTTCTTTGGCCACGTGTTTTTTCATGGCATATACTGCTGTAATTTTGAATGAAAATTGGCCAAAATACAATCAAGAAGTAACCAGAAATCAAAATCCAACTTCTAAGAGGAGCTTTGGGCCACATTTGGTCCAATTTTTGCCAGTTTAATTTTGGGGGTTGGGAAGTATAAAAATATAATTATATATTTACATTACATGTAATATTACTAATAATATTACAATATAATGGTATAGTGCAATATAGTAATATATACTGATATTGTACTATGCTAATAATATAATATATTGTATGAAAATATATATTGTAAGCCGCTCCGAGTCCCCTTCGGGGTGAGAGGGGCGGTATATAAATGCCGTAAATAAATAAATAAATAAACTTTTTGCCATCATCCACCCTTTTATATAAAAGGTGTTGAGGACTTTGTCCAGCTTTAACCTGGGATGGGGAGGGGGGCAGAGGGGTACAAAATGGTTTTTAATGATCCATAGTCTTCTTTCTGGATGTTTGCACTATTGAAAATGATTAAATTCTCTTGTATGGGATCAAAACCACTCCATTACTAAACATTTCATTGTAAGTCTTGGTTTTTCACTTTAGGTGAGGATGTCCTACTGTGTATCACCATAGAATTGTACAGGGCGAGGCAGCATAACTTTCTTTTTTAAAATGTGTGCCATTCAGTTGGTTGAAGACATAGTGGAGTGCTAGTGGTCTCGTTCGAGAGGCGGGATTATAAAGTGTTGTCCTGACACAGTTCAGTTGCCATCATGCGTTGGAACAGTGAGCAGCGTGCTTTTGCCGTTGAGGCCTACTTTTCGAGCAGATTTGGAGTGGCCGGCCCGCTCTCCAGATTTGGCCCCTTGTGATTTTTTTCTATGGTTTTTTTTGGAATCCCATGTTTATATGAACCGTCCAAGGACCCTACAAGATTTGAAGACCAACATCCAGGAAGAAATTGCCAACATAACACCTGCTATGCTGGCAAGAGTCATGACAGAACACCAGAAATCGGTTTACTTAGTGTATGGAGAATGGGGGACGTCACCTACCTAATTTGATCTTCAAAACTACGTGAAACAAAACTTTAGGTATGCGCCTACGTTATAAAAAAAATAATTAAAAAATCTGATTCATACAATGGGTTTTTATTAAGTTTTGAAAAAAGGAAGTTATGTTGCCTCACCCTCTATAATACTGTCCCATTCAAATACAACATATCCTTCTCAATTTGGAGGTTTTACATTCATAAAGCCACAATGATATAAAATATAAACAAAAACGAGAATTACTCATTTTTCTGTACAACAAAATGTTCATTATAGTTGTGTTAAATTGTAAGAAATAACAGTAGCATACCATATTATTAATTCAGCATTGTAAGAAAAATTAAGCTTATGTTACTAGCTGTTCAATGAACTGAAACTTCAGTGATGCCTTTAATGTGCAATGATTATCACATGAATAATATTTGCTGGCTTAGCTGGCGTATTCTTTGTGTAGCTGACATTTGGATATGATTGGTATAATGACCTAAAGGGGTTTACTGTCAATTAATGAATTTGATGTGGATACAACTGTTAGATTTAAGCCTATAGAAAGACATTTAATAAGAAGCCATGTTGTTTGCATTTGTCTGTGAAACTGACAGACCCAAACTGACCATCATTTTTTCTGACCATTCTGGCAATGTTAGTACGAAAATGATTCCAAGGTTCTTGAATGTAGAGGTTTATACCATGCAATCCTTTTAAAAAGAAGTCTCGAAATGTATTATTTATGGTAATAGATTGTGTGAGACTATATGTGTTAGCACCGTAATAAAAAATCCTAAGATTTATTGATAGCAAAAAGTATTTCCACCTTGATAAATATTGCTTATGCTGAATTCCAAAGCAGCATATGGATTTGTGTCCTTGTACTTTAGCAGTTTCCTTTTGGAAATTATTTTATTGCCAGGAATTATGTTGGTTGTGTCTGCATGTTGTTTTATCCTAATTTCTGCTTAAACACCCGCCCACACTTCCGTCAGATTCTCTCTGTTTGTGTGCATGTTTGTTTTAATTTGCTGAGCTTGTTGTGTTCCATATTGTTGGTTTCAAGTGGAAAGTCAATCAGTTTCGGTGGCATTTCCTTTGTATGTCGTTTTTTTAAGCTACCTATTGGTCTATGCTTTAGCTGTGAGTAGTTTTGGGCCAGTACTGAATTACACGCTGGCTTTCCAAGTGCCTTTTTGTTACTCTGCAGGAATCTCAGATAAAGGAGTTCTTGAAAAACCTTTCAAGTTGAAGTTCAAAGTTGGAGCCAAAGTGTTTTAGTCCAACATGCTTATTACATGACTAACATCTAAATCGGCTTTATAGCCTCCAAGTGACTTTAAAAATAACAAAGATTTAGCGATGAGGAGCAGGGCAGTAAGACTGTGCTTCGTTCTTTTCTGGCATGTAGTTGTTGCCATCCAAGGATAAAATGAGCCACAAGACGTTCCAAAACTTGGTTTCAGAGCCCTACTAATATCTAAGTTCTAGCAGTGAGCCTTAGTTTTGAAGATTTTAAATTGAAATTGATTTGGAGGCCTTCTGTTCAGAAAGTGCTGTTGCTTTTACTTCTTTTTTTAGTTTTTTGTTAATTAAAGGCCTATAGACCAAGAACCATCTAAATAATAAGCCACAGGTTATTATATATACTTGTGTGTAAGTTTAAAAAATGCCGAAAATCACTGAAAAACTAAGTGCCACTCCAGACAAATCTCCCTCATTACTGCTTGTGTTTCTTTGCTCACTGCTTCTGCTGGATCCCTGTGTTGTTGTTGTTGTTTTTTGGCCTGCTTTCTCTGGTCTTCCACCACCAGCCTGCTTGCTGTCCAGAAAAGGTTGGGAGGAGGAGGCAAGTGGGCCATTTGTGGACAAGCAAGGACCCTTTCACACTACACCATTCTAACCCTATGATTTCACATTATCTACCATGGTTACATCTTCTAAAATCCAAGGATTTGTAGTTTAGTGAAGCACCAGAACTCTTTGGTTG